AACAACGCAAGAATTCTGCTTTGTTACTGTGAAACTTCGCTAAACACTCAACTGAAATATCTGCACGACACTGTTTTTGTTCGAGTGTGAGCAAACGCGGCACCCATCTTGCACACAGCTTTCGTCAGTCCAACTTATCAGATGATATGCATTATACCGCACTTTTTGAAATTCTTACTAAGTCTGCTAGCTCACCCACTTTCAGTCGACGATCATTCAGTACCGCTTTGTGGATTTTCTTCATCGTTTCTGGAGTCATCACCTCGTCTGGTCGACCACTGTGATGATCGTCTTGGCAGCTCGTACGGCGTCGTTCAAACCTTGCTACCTAATATTTTACTATATTGTAAACGAAGAAGCAGACTCACCCAGAGTAGAATCCAGTTCAGCTTTTATCTTGATTGGGTTGAGGCCTTTCAAATGAGGTGTTGTACCACACAACGGTGGCCAATTTTCTCCAATTTCACAAATTCAACGAAAACGTTAACTATTGATGGCTGCCAAACGAACACTAAACAACGTATCGTCTTCAAACTTGAAACATATGATTTATAGATTGTGTACTTTCTAACAGTTATATTTTTTAAACAACTACCACCATCTCTAGGTCAGCTGGGGACTTCTGGGACCATCCTCGTACATCTTCGGTTCCTTGTGGAGTGATCGTGTTGTGATTTTGTAAAATGTTTTGTGAAAATCTCACACAGAAAAGTTATTTCTATCGAGAGTGATAATGATCATCAGATAATAATGAACTCTTGGAAAAGTGAAAAATGTTCAAACCATCCGTAGATGTTCACTTTTACTAATTATTTCTTCGGAAATATTAGATTGAATGTACCGATACTTTATGGTAATCCATCAGATATTCAATTAACACACAATTATTGTGAGATTTGTTGAGGTTACAAAACCGCAACACGTGTTTCACTATACATTGACATGTACAGGCGTGTTCATACTATATGAGAAAGTTACTTGAAGTCGACGGTCTTCTTCTGAGGTGTTTTCTGATTCCCTGATCGTACGGAAGCACCCTGTAGAAGAATGAATGTCTTCCAATGGTCGTGGATTGAGTCCGGCTCATATCAAGAAAGAAATATGGGCTTGTATAGGTTACTGATACATTTATATCAGACTTCTACAAAAAGTGATTCGATATTTGTAGTCACGCTTGATGATCGCTGAATTATTTCAAATGAATATGATATTGTAAATTCGTTAGAAATTTGCTCATACTATTCATTCGCCTTTGACAGATGATTTTCCAAATCAACTCACTATTTTTCTATGTGGATAAGACACAATATTTTCGGATTCACAAACGTTAAAAATATTTACAAAACCACCCGATTTCACTGTAAATGATATACCAGTTTCCAAGTCTACCACTCGTGTCAAGTGTTTAGGAATGTGCATTGATGAACATCTGCATTGGAAGATACCTACATTGTTCGAGTTTGATATCAGTGATCAATTCACAGTGTTGTCTTCTGAAAAATTTGAGAACAGTACTTGCACATTATCAATTGCTGATGGTGTATTATGCACCAGTGGAGAGTCGTATGCGTTATGGTATTTGTAACACTTCCATCCTCATATATTTTTGAACTGTGCCTTTATATTTTCAATAATAGAGATAGTTTTGTGAAGAAGGCTGATGTACATCAAGTTCTTGATATTATTTCTATTCACCAATCTGTAAAAATAGAGTATATGTCTGCTCTCCTACTTATTATGGCTTACGTGCATTCAATAAATTACCAGATGAATTGAAAAATTTCTTCGTTATTGACTTTCAGAAAGCAACTCAAAAAATTTTTTGTTATAAGATGTTTTTATTCAACAGATGAATACTTTTCAAAAGATATCTCATAAAAATATTGTTATTGATATTTCTAATATGTCTAAATATCCTAACAGCCAGTCATCCTGTCTTTGAATTCCAAAGTTCTGAATGTGAAATTGTTAGATCTATATTGTATATATTTTTTGGACACGACTATTTCAATTCAATATTTCCGCCCTTGGGAAGCAGATGATTATCATTATCATTTTTAGTGGACATCATTCGTGAGTAATTTTAAAATCCTATCCTTTTCATGATATTTTCGATGGTCCATGGTTGTTTTAAATTATATTTTTATCTGCTCTTCATGTACCCAACGCCAGTATTTGTGAGAAAAATCGATAACCATCAGAGGGACAAAATTGTTTCGAGAGTACACTTGACAACAATAAAAATCTGCTCAATGTCAATGCTGGAAATATGACATCTAATACAAGGACTGCAAAACATTATGGTATCCCCGGGGTAATCGCGAACCCCTTTATGGCATCATTTCAGTTAATATAGAATAACTGAATTACTACCGAAATTTGATTCAGTTATATGTGTGGGTTTAGCGTGACGAAATTGCATTTTGCATCAGCCACTCACTAGACGATTATTACCCTTGATTAAATTATCATCCATTTATTATCTATATACAGGGGTTGTGATAAAATGCCTGAAATTATTCACGACATCCAATGACGAATAATACATAATTTAGTTTGAAATGAAGAATAAATTGTACAGGGAGATTCCTGACTAGTGCTAGATTAAGGCTGAAGCAAATTTATACCAGAATCGATAGTGAAATCAAAAATAGTAGTAATGAAAACTGTCTCATCCCGTTATAGTGAAGAGTTTAACAACTGAAAAAAATGTTCAACCTAATATAACCTCAGGTAATCTTGGGAAAATTTTTGAACATCAAATAATGTTTTTTTTTATTGAAAATCCATCATTGCATAAACATGAAATGAATCAGCAAATTTTTCTCATTTTATGAGATTTTTTCATTGAAAAAACGTATAGTTATACCTGAAATGGTTCAGAACGAACAAGGATGAACTTAAAATACAATTGAAAAAAGAATGTGGCAGAAATATAACTGTTTCAATGAAAATTGAAAATAACTTAATGACTGAAATGAAAATAATGAATGAATTTTAAGATTTTGAGCTAATATTTTCTAAGAACGTACAACTAACCTCAAACAAGTGTTCCCCTGTAAATTTTTTGAACAGTTGAAGTCATTTCTATTACTAATGAATACGTTGTGTTACTATTGTACATTTCTGGTTATTCAGGGTTAATCCAAAATCGAAATGTATGTTATAACATATACAGTGAAATAAAAAATGGAAAAAATGTCCTAAACACCACAAATATTTTCATAGTTGACAAAATTTCAGAGAGGAAAAGTTTCGTTTCATCATATTAATCAGCATACCATATAGAATAAAATATTTCTCAACAAATATACAAAATTAAATCAAATTATTACACACGTGACATTGGCTCATCAAAACATCATTATAATGATCCGTTATTACTTTTTTTATTTGGTTAAATCAGACCTGTTGGCATCATAATGGATGCTGAATTTGAGTTACGAGCCATCAGTAATTTGTCTCGTGCCACTTAGAGAACGCATTCATCACACAGCATTCTTTGACTGAATTATCATGTTTGTCACGAGGAAAATGATCGTAAAATAAGCAACATTCGTAAGCAATTCAATCATCCAGAAGAGAAACCTAATTAGAATTCTCAGATATTTAAGACTTGGATGTCTCTGTATAGTCCAGACAATCGAATCTAGGTTGACTGAATATTGCCTATCATAAAGATTAACTAGAAAGTCACCTGTTAGACAAATATTCAGGTTCATACGAAACATTATTATTATAAAACACAAAAATCACAATATGTCGAAAGAGTGGATGAATCAGAGAATCAGAGATAATGAGTACTTCTCTCTCAAAAATTTATCTGACTGTATGTTGAGGTTCCTTACTGATTTGTCGTAGAATTTTTCCATTTTAGTAGAAGGAAAACTCTTTGGCTATGCATTTCCAAAGCATTTTCAGCAATAACTGTAATCAATGGTTACTACAGAGATTTTGAGGTGGATAATGACCTGGTTAATTTTAAATTTTGAATGAAAATTCTGGCATTGTGCTATGAAAACGATAAAAGACAGCGTCATCACAAAAAAGACATGGGTGGTAATCAGAACAATTTATGTTCAGATGGGACAGAGATGTTCAGACACATTTCCGTGAAAGTTGTTTTTCATGTTGTGCCTAGGCGAGTAGCCAAAATAAAAGTGTCTCTTATCATCGCTGGTATTTGTAATGGATTGTCTACGTTTTATAGGTAAATTGACATTCATGATTACTCACCATTGAATTTTTGATGCTTCATCTCGAAAGGTATTTTGAAAATTAGCTTCTCGTGAAGGATGAAAAATGATGATTCGGAATTTTCATGCATTCAGTTATTATTGGATATTCATTGATCTATCAGCAACTGTTATTGAAAATGACAAAAACATTAGAGAATTAAAATATTTTTGATATATCATGGAGCGAGTATTGATAAGTTCTGGAACAAATCCTCAGTTGAAATGAAATTATTATTCGTTTTGGAAAAACTGGACGGGTGTAACTTTCAGTCACACGCAGTTTCATTTTTTTATGATATAATATATTCTCTCATTGAGACATTCACACTTCTGCCATGCCATCGCACAACATCATAGTACCATTAGTGGAAGAGTCAATTATCCAAATGTACAATGGGCAAATTCTTAGTTCAAATGAAAATCCTCACATTCGGGGGTCATAATATTTATTTTGCAAATATTGAACGAGTGTAACTTTCAGTCACACCAAGTTTTTTTTTTTATGACATAATCTATTTTCTCATTGAGACATCCACACTCTTGCTATATAATCGCACAATATCATACCATCATTGGAAGAGTCAGTTATCCAAATGTATTCACTAAGTCGTTAATATACAGTAACAATGATATTGGATCCAGAATCTAGCGTTATAGCTCTCCGGGAATCATTCCAATACAATATTTCACAATCTGACGGCTACCATAATGATAATCAGTTATTGAAATGATTTCTTCATAACATGTCTCTATATGTTCCAGATACTATGAAACGGGTAGCTTCAAAGCCGGTGTGATCGGCGGTTCAAAGCCAAAAGTAGCAACTCCACCTGTAGTAGACGCTATAGCCAACTACAAAAGAGAAAATCCCACCATGTTTGCATGGGAAATTCGTGATAGGCTTTTGGCGGAAGGTATTTGTTCCCAAGATAACGTACCTAGTGTTTCATCAATAAATAGGTGAGTGAATTTAAAGGTTTCTCATACTATTTGTTTTAAAAATCTCATTTATTGTTTATGGCTAACTATTGGATAACAATGAAATGAATTAGGCATGAAGGTTGAAAAAAGTTAACAAAAATTATCAATCAACCAAATACGTTTTTTGAACATTTTGCGATAGGTATTCAGTAGGTATAACTGAGAGACTTGAACTTTTTCAACAAGAGATAGTTTGTTCTAATCAACAAGAAATAGTTTGATAAATGATACTAATTATCCATAGAAAATTGGAGTTCTTCTCGTAAGTCCCGTTCTGAATACGTAAAACCTTCAAAACCAATTGATGAAGAAAAAGAAGATATTCCAGTTCAATAAAAATTTTGAATATGACACGAAGATTTCTCATTTTTGAAGTATATTTCAAACCCATTTCAATATATTGGCATTTCTGAATACATAGAGTATAGCCAAATTTCTCTCATTCCAAAATCTTCTTGAAATACCTCATTTATAATGATCGATAATATCGATATTGAAGGTTTATTTATAAAATAGCACTCGCTCCAATATGATAATCGAAGTGAGCATAAAGAGCCACTCAACACAATCCATTTGAAACAATTGCGCAATCATAGCCACCCCTATATATGTGCGTAGATAACATCGAGTAGGCCAGGCGTGCTGGGGGCTGATTTGACACATTTAATTTGACCGGTCGTCCCATCGGGGTTGTCCATTACTACATATCACAGCAGTCTTCTGATTAATAAAATAACAGATGGGATGCTGTTTAATCTCCACTGGGTGCGATGTGATAACATAATGAATTAGGTAATGTAATTTGGAAATAACCCTCAATTTTGCCATCTTGAATTTGCATCTTTTTCAAAGTGTACTACTATTCTACTAGACAAGCCCTGTCATTTGATACCCATATTGAGGTATTGCGAAAAAATATATAATACGCCATTTTGTAGCTTCGACAATCTTGAATTTACAATGATATAGAAGTCATTAAATTGTATTGTCATCAAAACAAAAACTGTGTACCAAATAACTCAAATTCAAATTGCTGAATTTGACTCAAACATACAAAAAAAACAACAGGGCGAGTTAAATTAAACCGTTCAATTAAAGGAATGAAGTATTTCAAGGAATTCAGTCTGAGATTATCAGGTAAGCACAGTGACATTAGAAAAGTTCTGTGCAGCCAAACGATTTCATTTCGGAGACTCAATTATGAATATCCAAATATTATATAAGAAACCTTGATATTTTGGAAGATTGGAAGTAGTTTGATGTCTCTTCTATAGACATAATCTATTGAAGTGTCAGACCGACCAAACCCATTTTATTTTTCGAAGCAGTATATGTCAGAATTTTACGGTTAAAACTATAGCGGACCATCACTTATTATACCCGGGAAACAACAATTTCAGAAAGTGATAGAATCGACGAAAATTCAAACAGACAATCGAGAACATTTGTCCGAATTCAATGATATTATCGTCGGTGACTTCAGGGTGTTGCCAAGTGTGCACAATTGCACATATATCAGCTTGGCAAAACTAGGTCAGATTCTCATTCATTTTTGGTGTCAACAAATAGTTTCATAACACACTCATCTGGCAGTTTTGCCAATTCTGCTCACGGTAATTCGTAGATTTACTCGACAGGAATCATCATATATGACAAAGAAGATTTCTGAAGATTACAAATCTCTTCGATTCAATATGATGTTCATGTTCATGATGTTTTCGCTCTTTCGCACTGGAACTCTCACCCTGTATTAGAGTGAAGCTATATTTTAGACCAATATTTCCACTCCGATATCGATAGCTTGTAGAAAATGAATAATTATGTTTTATAGTCACCAGACTCCCGTATAAATAACGAAAAACAAGCGAGCACACGTATATAAATTGACTAGCACTTAACCTTGTTGGATATGGGAAAATTTATCGTTCTTTTTCAACTTATCTGCTAATGGTTAGTGTCATCTTGGTTGGTACAATAAAACAAATGATAAATTCTGGTTGGGAGCCGCGGGGGGTTGGGGGATCCTCCGGAAACGGACATGACGCCATGCTGAGTAGAAACAGCGGAAGACTACTCCAAACAATGGCTCGGCGCGCGGTCTTTTTATGTCTTTGCAATTAGAACGGCGGAGATTCAAGAATACTGTTTTTCCAACTTCTGTTGAAATCAACGTTTTACTTTTTTGCGGTTTTAGGTATTTCCATGGCAAATATCATTATGTTTATTTTTCATAACCCGCAAGATGAGATTAGTTCTTTCTGCTTATGTTATTTTTGCTTCTGAGATGTAGAGAGCTTTTTTGGAGGATGATGACATGGTTATGATCATGGAGCTGGAGTAACGTTGGTGAACTTTTTCTCCAAATTAAATTGGTTTCGAAATATTTTCCGTTAGAATATTAGGAATAATGTACTTCCTGTCTTCTTTTGAAAATATCTGATGATTTTTTGTTAATATCATACAAAGCAATTCTACTCTTGATTATTATTTCAATTCTTATTTTTTTGTTTTTTTTTTAATTTTTATTGTTGGTGAAAGCGATAATAAGTGAAAAAAATACTGTAGCTTCCGATGGAAGGTGTCAAAATTATACCATACTTTATGTCTTGCCAAAATGAAAGTTGTTGATAGAACCAAGTCAAATTATAATCGCCAATAACTCAGTACCTACAAAATATTTTATTTTAAATTTTGAATATTTAGACACAATACTTACAAAATCATCATGATATATTCAGCCCATTCAATTCAATATCCATACTCTATTCAAACCAAAGGTACGCTTCAAGAAATCACAGCGGAACACGTGATCCGGGGGAATGTAGATTCACCATCCAAATCTGCAGTTTGGTATTGGTAATAATTGAATCGTATCCACATGCGGCTAATAGTTGAAGCTTATTGCTCATTGTTGCAACATAGTCCACCAGATCTCCAATTGATGGTCATGTAATTGAAGCGGAGCTTGTCTTGGAGTTGAATAAAGGGACAGTAAAGGGAAGTTGGTGTACTACTGTTGTAGTACACCAACTTCATAGATTCCTGGTATGATCATGCTTGTCTTAGGGCCTTTGAGAGTCTTTGTACAAGAGTATCTCAAAAATATCGGATTTTTCTTTGGAGTCGTTTTGACTCAGTTCAAATTTTTTAAGAATAAATTTCAGATGCGCAATAGAATACGAGGTAGATCAGAGTTGAAAATCATAATGAACCGTAAACTGAGAGCTAGATCAGAGCATATGTACGGGGTAGTTCTACACCTCTTGAACTCAATTTCACCCTCTTGCTCCCCTCAAGCAAATCTACTCCGCTACAGATATAAAGCAATAAAATGTAAAATAATAATTCAAGAAATTAACAAATATTTGAGGTTTGATTTTGAATTCACCGCGAATTTACCAAATCTCGTGACCGATATCGAAAAATCTAATTCCAAATGGATTTGCTTGCTGATATGGACTATTTCAAGCAAATTGATTAAACTTCTTCGAAAAATTCTGGAAAAATATTTTTAATGCTGAAAATGGCACCTGTGATCCATTATTTCCATATCTTTGTATTCTAGTGGAAGGAATCCTATCAGTACCTCATTCATCTGCTGCAGCAGAACGAGTTGAGTCATGGTCGGTGGGAGAAATCGTATCAGCGAAAAGTTTGGATAGGCGTACGACAAAGAAAGTATTAGGAAAAAAGGAATAGAAACTTTTGTTTGCAATTTTACGTTTAAGGCTCGAATAATGTAACAGACTGATAACAGATTTTTACACATCTACTGCACATCTTGAGGCAGGGGCTCCTCACCGGCTATGACTCACTCCGGCAGCTGTAATAATAGTTATATCTTGTGAATAAAAGTAGATCAATAATTGGATTTCGAGAAGACATCAATCTGTTTGATACTATAGGAAATTTTTATTGAATTGGCTCAGTTCAATGTCATCTTATTACAATTTTTTGTTTAATATTATGAACATTTATATTTCTTTGTGGTACAATTATGATATCCAGTTTCGAATTTGAGTGACGGTCTCCGCTCTGCTCGTCGAGGGTGAAAGTTATAAAATCAGCACTTGATCGGAACCCCCGAATATCGCCACACCCTCGTTCGTTACTCGAGCGTATCGTTTGCCATCTAAGTAACTCGCTTTTTATTGTACACTTTAAAGAACGAATACCCTTGTTGCAAAGTTTGCGTTTTAGGCGAAATGAATCCATTTAGGGTACATCCACAATGACGTTTTCTTTTGTCTTTATTCTTACTAAATTGCATTCAATGAGGTGAACATTAATAAGCTCGTATCGTTCATGAGGAAAATACAAAAATTACAAGGGTTTCAAACATTGAATTACCCATTTAAAAAAAATAATAGCCGAAAGTGTCAAATATGAAACATGTCCGAATATAAACAATAATACGATTTGTTGTAATGCCAACTACTTGTCAAATAAATTTCAGATATTGCTTTCCTTACTAAATTTGTTATTTTCGTTTTATACATACAGCCCAAAAAGATAGACCAAGTATCACTATTTTTCGGGTTTGAAAGCCGTCGATTTTTAGAATTTCTTCCTGACGTTTCGTTGGCGCCAGTGGCTAGCTTCTTCAGAGGTTTATACATCCTGAGTAATATCCGATGACGATATTACGGCTGCGTATTTATGTTAACGCAGGTAGTTTGGTGTGCTAATACCTGTACCTGACTTAGGTACATTGTCAATAACATTTGTCGACCATTTTCAACCTTCCATCATGCTGTTTGCTATTCTTGAACTTCTCAGAATGAGATTCCATATTCGGTTGAGGTTCACAGCTTTTTTTTCTGTTGAAATTATCCGCTTGTTTGTGGGTCTCTATTGCCTCCTGTACCAGTCGGCTTTGGTATCCCTGGTTGGGGGACAATGAGTTTCGTGTTCTGTGGTTTCCTTCACTGAGTGCATGTTCGTCATAGACGACTTGTCTGTTTGGCCTAGTCTGCAGT